CCCGAGCCCCCCGCGCAGGGCCTGGCGCTGCGCGAGGGGGTCCCGCTTTCATCTCGGCGGGTGCCGGTTGTGGTGGCAACACCCCAAGGATCCCCGCCGTTGCCATGGCGCCCGCAACGCCCTGCAGGTGTCCGGGGCCCTTCCCGGCCCCCTTTCCTGGCCCGAGGTGGCGGGGGGGCAGGAGGATCCCCCCCCACAGGTGCCCCCCGGTCCCCATTCCCGCGGCGGCACCAGGGCCCCCTGTGTCACCCCCCTCCAGCCGGGGCTCCCCCGTTGCCATGGCAGCCGTTGCTGCGGTACCCGACCCAGGGTGGCTGCCAAGGTGCCCTTGTTGCTGCAGCGACCTTGTCGCCGTGGTGACCCCGTTGCCATGGTGATGAGGGCACCGCTGTATGTGCCCCCTTTCCCCCCCCCTTTGCCAAGACCCTCCGTGTCCGTGGGGCATCGTCCTGCCGCGGTGCCCGGTCACCGCGGTCCCTGTCACCCCATTGTGGTGACACCGGGTGCCTGGTGTCCCCCCGTCACCGCAGCCCCACGTGGCCGCGCTGCCCCACAGCCCTGTCCCCCCGTCCCCCTGCCCGTGGTGCCCGCGGTGCCCTGTGTCCCCCGTGGCCCGGGCGGCGAGCGCGGCGCCCGCGGCCTCCCCGAGCGCTGCCGGAGGCCGCGGTGACGCTCGTCCCCGTGGCGGTGGTGGCCGCGGGGGCTGTGGGGACGGATGGGGATGGGGGCGCCATGGGGAGGACATCCCCACGTCACCCCCCATGGGGGCCCCGGCGTCCGGGCCCGTGTCACCCACCATGGGCAGGGGCTGTTCCCATGAACCCGGCCAGTGTCACCGGCGTCTGGGACCCCCCACCGGGTGAGTCGCACTCTGTGACCCAACATGGGCCCCCCAGTGCCACCATCGGCTCCCCCCGCCCCCATGGCCAGGGACGCCCCCCCTGTCCCCGCTGTGGGTCCCTGTGGCCTGGGAAAGGCCCCCCCCCGGTGTCCCCATCGCCAGCCCTGCCGCGTCCCCGAGCACCCCGACATCCCCCCGTGCTGGGGGGTGCAGGGATCGGCCCCTCCATCCCCCGGGCGGGGGCAGCTCCAGCCCCGCTCCGTCCTCATGGTCCCCATCGGCGGGACTGTCCCGTGTGGCCGGGGGGCTCCCCCGGTGCCCCCATCCCTGGGACAGGCCCCCCGTGTCCCCCCAGGTCTCTGGCCGGGCTCTGCCGGTGGCTCCGGCCTCTTACTCTGGTTCGTGGTGCCCGCGGGGACCCTCCGGGGACCCCAGGTGACACCGGCCACCCCGGTCCCCGCGTTTGTCCCTCGCTCCCCTGTGGATTAAACGGGGCTTTGGTGTCTGAGTCAGTGCTGAGCGCTGCTGGGGGGAGCTGGCTGCAAAGCGTGGGGGTGAGGGGGGCCCGGACGCCGGGGCCCTTTCCTAGTGTCCCTCGGGGTGAGGGTCTCCCGGATGCCTGCACCCTTTCCCTATGTCCCCCAATGTCCGATATCCCGGGGGTGAGGGGGTCCTGGGCACCGGGGCCCTTCCCCGAGTCCGTCAAGGGGAGGGGGTCCACGATGCCGGAGCCCTTTCCCTATGTCCCTTGGGGACGAGGTGCATCCCGGGGCCCTTCCCTGTGTCCCTCGAGGTGCGTCCCGGACGCCGGGGCCCTTCCCGCGCTGCCGGCACCGCGGCCCCCCCAGGCGCCCCCCGGCGCGCGGCGCTGAGCGCAGCAAAGCGCTTTGTGGCGCCTCTGCAGCCCTGGCAGATTCGCGCCCGGCGCCAATGGCCGCGGCCGGCCCTAATCCCCGCCTGGGCGCCAACTTAGCGCCCGCTAAGCCGGGCTCAATAGCCCTGCCACAAACAGCCCCGGGGGGGGCGCTGGGGGGGCCCCGCGGCAGCGCCCCCGAGCAGGGCCATGGGGGGGCTGTCCCACAGTGTCCCCCCGCTGCCCCCAAAGGGTCCCCGATGCCCCCGGGGGGGTCCCCGCCGCGTCATGGCCGCCACCCCGGGGGTCCCGCAGCGCAGGGAGGTGCCCGCACCGGGGGGCGCCCCGAGGCGGGGGCTGCCATGGGGCAGCGAGGGGGTTAACGGCACCCGGGGGAGGCGGGCAGGGTGCCGGGGTGGGGGGGCTGCCCCCGGGGGGTTGATAAGGCGGCGCCGGGGGCGGCCCCCGCACTGGGGGCAGCGGGGGCGGCGGGGCCATGCGGGAGCTGCGCTCGGCCGCCTTCTGGAGGGCCGTGCTGGCCGAGGGGCTGGGCAGCCTCCTGTACGTGCTGCTGGGGCTGGCGGCCGCGCT